TTTAGTATGCCGATAGCGCAGAAGTTAATAAGTTGTATTATAAATATTACAGAGATTTTTTTTGAACGCGGTATATATAATTTAAAGAACTAAATTTAAAGAACGAATACAAGAACAAAGCGGTCTATCTCTTATGTATCTTATTTAACAATAAATAAAATTCTAAAGATATGACATACGTGTGTCGTCTCTTCGCGAGAGACTTTTAAACGACTCGTGTTACGCTTCGGCAAATCGTTGCTTAGCGTTCAACCGCGATCCCGTCCGCGTCCGGAGCGGGAAAATGTTAATTTGCATAAATGATCGAGGGATCTTCCCGCATCCCGGAAAACGGGCGAATGCTACGTGACACTAATGCCGCCTTTCGCATAGTAATCGAGGAAGCAATAGTTTCCTGGAACGCGGTCTTCTCCTTAATCGGTAATTCGACTCCCGGTAATACGACACTTGTCCAAGATATTCAGCGCGTGCATTTACGTCGTAAAAGTGTAATTGAATATTTTAACCGGCACACAAACTATGTATTTAATATCTATTTATAAAAATCATCGATAGTATTTAGAACTATCCAAAGAATAACGCGTCAAAATATTCGATGGCGTCATATATAAGAATGTTTTAATATTAAAAGCTATCAAAAATATGAAATTAAAAAATATATAAAACATAAATAAAAATATCTATATATTAATATCTCAAGGTTTGGCAAAAATGTGATCTTTCAATAAGACTACTCCCAGACCTTTCCACGCACCTTCTCTCAAACCTTTCAATACTCAATTGCGATTGGATTATCGCTCCCTCGTCTCGGGTGTCTGATCTCGTGTCTAGTCTCCTTTCGCCATCCCCGATATCTTGTCCCTATCTCTTCACCCTTTCCGTGTGGGCAGTCCACTTACGCGCGGTTCCATGTTCATGAGAGTCGCGCGAGACACGAGAATGAGAAAGAAAGAAAGAAAGAAAGAGAGAGAGAGAGAGAGAGAGAGAGAGAGAGAAAGAAAGAAAGAGAGAGAGAGAAAGAGAGAGAGAGAGAGAGAGAGAGAGAGAGAAAGAAAGAAAGAGAAGACTACTCCCAGACCTTTCCACGCACCTTCTCTCAAACCTTTCAATACTCAATTGCGATTGGATTATCGCTCCCTCGTCTCGGGTGTCTGATCTCGTGTCTAGTCTCCTTTCGCCATCCCCGATATCTTGTCCCTATCTCTTCACCCTTTCCGTGTGGGCAGTCCACTTACGCGCGGTTCCATGTTCATGAGAGTCGCGCGAGACACGAGAATGAGAAAGAAAGAAAGAAAGAAAGAGAGAGAGAGAGAGAGAGAGAGAGAGAGAGAGAGAGAGAGAGAGAGAGAGAGAGAGAGAGAGAGAGAGAGAGAGAGAGAGAGAGAGAGAGAGAGAGAGAGAGAGAGAGAGAGAGAGAGAGAGAGAGAGAGAGAGAGAGAGAGAGAGAGAGAGAGAGAGAGAGAGAGAGAGAGAGAGAGAGAGAGAGAGAGAGAGAGAGAGAGAGAGAGAGAGAGAGAGAGAGAGAGAGAGAGAGAGAGAGAGAGAGAGAGAGAGAGAGAGAGAGAGAGAGAGAGAGAGAGAGAGAGAGAGAGAGAGAGAGAGAGAGAGAGAGAGAGAGAGAGAGAGAGAGAGAGAGAGAGAGAGAGAGAGAGAGAGAGAGAGAGAGAGAGAGAGAGAGAGAGAGAGAGAGAGAGAGAGAGAGAGAGAGAGAGAGAGAGAGAGAGAGAGAGAGAGAGAGAGAGAGAGAGAGAGAGAGAGAGAGAGAGAGAGAGAGAGAGAGAGAGAGAGAGAGAGAGAGAGAGAGAGAGAGAGAGAGAGAGAGAGAGAGAGAGAGAGAGAGAGAGAGAGAGAGAGAGAGAGAGAGAGAGAGAGAGAGAGAGAGAGAGAGAGAGAGAGAGAGAGAGAGAGAGAGAGAGAGAGAGAGAGAGAGAGAGAGAGAGAGAGAGAGAGAGAGAGAGAGAGAGAGAGAGAGAGAGAGAGAGAGAGAGAGAGAGAGAGAGAGAGAGAGAGAGAGAGAGAGAGAGAGAGAGAGAGAGAGAGAGAGAGAGAGAGAGAGAGAGAGAGAGAGAGAGAGAGAGAGAGAGAGAGAGAGAGAGAGAGAGAGAGAGAGAGAGAGAGAGAGAGAGAGAGAGAGAGAGAGAGAGAGAGAGAGAAAGAAAGAAAGAGAGAGAGAGAGAGAGAGAGAGAGAGAGAGAAAGAAAGAAAGAGAGAGAGAGAAAGATCCCGGACGCCTGCATCGCCGAAGAATGCCGTGTAATGATGCTGCACATCCGGGACGACGGTTGGAATACCCTTCCCCGCATTCCCTCCCGCCCCTTGCCCCGTTGCCGCCGTCATCGTCGGCGTTCTCCACTCTCCGTCCTTTCTACCTTGTACATCCTCCTCGGCTTCCGAGATGCTTCTGTGGTGTGGCACAGGCCGTGTGGCCTGAGCGGCGAGAGGTACGCGCGGTGGCGTAATCGCTCTCGAGAAGAGGCTGCTCTTCCTTCGGTCGCGATGCATCGCCGAGGGGCGAGAGGTAAAGAAAGAAAGAGAGAGAGAGAGACAGACAGACAGACAGACAGACAGAGAGAGAGAGAGAGAGATGGGGGCTCGTCATCGCTTTTCGACACACAATCGGTGGGATGCACGCGCCGATTATCCCGAATCGAAAAGGCCGATATAAATCGAGAAGCGAAATCGATAGGCGCGACGAACGCCTAAGACTTCAGCCTAGGAATGTCTCAGACTCGCTTGTACCAGTTTGTGTAGAAAAAATAATTTTTAGTTATCATTAATACGTTTTTTATCTTTATAAATTATAGTATTTTTAAAATTGTAGTCTTATTCTTGATACAGATACATAAAAAAGAAATTTACTCGACCAAATATTCAATAGATTCTCAACCTGACAATTTTTGCAATTCGATGATTAAAAAATAATATTTTAGTTTACGGTATAAATAAATTGTAGATGAATAAATATAATTTTAGTATATAATCTTGTGCAAGTTTCGTATTTTATTGTTAAAATGCGAAGTTCTTTAAATTTGATTCAAGCTTCGGTCATACTTTCCTTGTACTTGATAATTTAAGACCGATCGTTTATTTTGTGTTAAGATGTGTCTGGTGACATTCTTCGACATTCCTTGTTAATAAAGTGAACAAGAAAAATCCATACAGGATATGTCGGTCGGAATGCAAAACTTAGGAATTGATGTCTCTGACGCGCGCACTTATTTGAATCTGCATCAAATAGAATCGTCTGGAAAGTGGTTCCGTCCAAAATGCATATATTTGTCGTAAATTCTGTCGGGCGTTGTATTATTGATTTGATATGGAAATTTTATATCCACCAAAAACATTTCCACTTGTTCATCGAATAGAATATTATTGAATGTTTTCATGTTTACTTTGCAACACAAAAACACATAATTATCGCTAAATGACGAGGCTGTAAAGCATAACTGATATTGATTGTAGTGATTACGAAAAATCGTCATCTAAATTTACTAATATGAAGAATAATAATTGTTTTTTAAACTAGATTTCTCCATAAAACGTAATCTTTAAATTAATATACAACTCCTGAAAAAATAATTTTTGTTTGCTTATAAGAAATAATTTCCCTTGGTAACGATATGAAATTGAATGCTCCACTTGTACTCTCTTCTAATTAAGTCGCTATTAATCGCCTTCTTCCAGGGTTCTTGTAATAATTACATTCGACGCAGACGTTCGGAGAGATATCCGTTGTATATCGTTAGGATATAACGATGTTCGAACAGCGGGATGAAAAATGACGCGGGAGAAGATATGCTGGGGAAGAAGAGTGTTGGGGTAGTCGTCAAAGTTGCTATAGGCCGTAACAAAAGCCGACGGGAGAGAAGAGAAACTTCAACGAGGGTCGCGAGGGGGAAGCTTGCCTTGTCTGCCTGCCTGCCTTGTCTGCCTGCCTGCCGTCCTGACTCTTTTTCCTGTCGTCCCATCTCCCACTTGTTGCCTAACTTCGTCTGGTTCTCGTCTTACGTGACGGGCTTTTGAAAATCGAATCGCCCGCAGACGCGAGGAAATGTTTTCGTTCGCCGTGGCATCCCTTCATCGGGAACGCATAAGCGTCTTTTCGCGTCGTAAGAGTGTTAGACTGAAGGATCGGAGGGTGATAAAAGCGAACTTCCGTTATAAAAATTTATAAGTTAAACTTCTGACCGACAATAATATTGTCTAACAAGTTGAAATTTTCTTCAAAAATAGCGGGAGCCAAATAACATAAAAAAATTTAGAAAGCTTAACAATTTAACACAACCCGAACAAAATTATCACGCGTTGCACTGTGTATTGTATCGACGTTTTGTGTATTAATATTTTATACAGGCATATAAAAGATAAATTAAGCTCCAAACATAAAAACAGATAACATAATCCTGTTTTGCATTTTATTGCAACTGAGCTGTCTTAATATAGATATAACTTCTCGCTAAGTAAACGATATTAATGTAAAATTAGCATCGTAAATCCGTTGAGGAATATCGATATGAAATTTGTCAAAATATCTGTGGCTAAGAAAATATTCGATATACGTATCAATGATATATGTGAAGAGTGCAAAGATAACAAGGGTTGCGCAAAAGATTCGCATCCGAATCTGTAATTGCGACATTTTCGAGGTATCGATATCTCTTGCTCCGCCTGAAATCTTCAAAAGGCGGAGAATAATCCAAACAAATGAAATTGCAAAGAGATTACGTTCCGTAAATCGTTATACGCCGAATAGCTGTATCAGCGATACGGCGACATTTAGTGTCAAGTATCTTTCAATTAATAATAAGCGACATGTAAAATGTGAAATAATGATATGCGCGCGTGACGATTTATTAATTCCGCATGCGGATACGTTGATCAGTTGCTTCGTAACGTTATATAAATACGTGCAAAATTTCTGCGGAACTATACGACTTGACACTGAAAGCCGATTGCGAGAAATGAGCGAGACATATAAGCAGATTCGACGAATTACTCACCGTCATGATAAAACCGTGCTGCGTGGCGCCGGGAAGGAAGAAATATGGACTTCGGTCGATGACGAGGACTTTGCCGCAAATCGATTTGATTAAACGGGATGTCCGAGACCTATAAAAAATAAGTATCAATATGCAATTACATAGTGCAATTAATTATAGAGAGATAAAAATACGAGAGCTTTCTGAACAGCTCTTTAGAACTCTAGTGAGATTGGTTGTCTCTCGCCCCCTCTTAAAATATAGAGGTCATCGATATCTCACGCGAATTAATTGGTATAGCGCGAATAAAGTATCGCGACAAACATCGAATATTAAATCAATAGCCGCAACGAGCGCTTTAAATCACGAGACGTAACTTCTTCTTCGAAGGAGCGAGAAATTCCGGCCGCCAATCGATGACGAATCTCTCGACGATCAATATAAGCAAGACACGAATTAAATGTATATTCGGCCGCGGGTAGAAGACCGACCGGCTATGGGGCCGGTCGACGCGCGTAGGAATTTAATTTACGCGACGATACCGTCGCTTAATTTCTACCGTCCAAAATTCCGAGACGCTCAGAAGCGCGCAAATAGATTGGCGATAGTCCCTTTCCATGGGTGATTCTAAATACTCTTTAGACGATACGAATACTGCGTAGATAATAACGACGTCGATAATGATGATGAGGAGGTTCCAATTATTTTTGCTATTTGCTCTTTCACGATCGATTTTCAGAAAATATCGAAATCATCGTCACTAAAAATTAATACTGCCAAAATGGATTGTTAAATCAGCTCGTGAATACGTCAACGACAAATGCTGGAGATTTCCGATTAATTTGCAGATGTTTCACAGCTTCATTGTTAATTCAGAAAGACTTCTTAAAAATTGCAAAAATGAGCCGTTTAATAGAATAACAATATCAAAAAATACTAATAATATGTATTATTTTAATCTAAAAGTACGTTGAAAATAAGATTTTTAAAATAAATACAGCATATTAATAATATAATAAACCCCAGAAATAATGAAAAAGAATGAAAAAAGGAATAATGAATAAATAGGAGATTCAGAAAATTTAATAAAAATATTCGGCTATTTTGTACGACACCGATGGCACGAATTAATCTAATCGACCGATGAAGAACATGCGCTTGCAAGTGCATGACAAAATAAGGTAAACGTTTTAACGATATATAACACTTAGTCAAACGCGCACGATGTTTCCTTTCTTTTCCCTTTTTCATCCTGATTACACAAATTAGCTGTCTCGAGGCGCGCTGCCGCTGTCGAGAACGATTCGCAGTTAGGCTAATCGACGCGCTCGTAGACCATGTTCTTGTTGGCTCGACAGCCATAATAAGACCATGATTACTACAGTGATAATACACCACGTGCTTCCCCCGATTACTTACAACGTCGCTCTTTTCGTTCCTTTTTCATCTCTCCCTCTGTTTCTCTTTATTTTTATTTGCTTCTCTTTTAAATAATCAGTTATTCTTAAAACACATCTCACAAAAAAATTAACCAAAATATGACCATACTTTTAGAAGAGAGAGAGAGAGAAAGGCATTCAAATTCTTGTTAAGTTATCCAGTTTTGTGTGATAAGAATGTATAATTAAATTTTAATCGTAACAGTATCGTTCATCTCTCCCTCTGTTTCTCTTTGTTTTTATTTGCTTCTCTTTTAAATAATCAGTTATTCTTAAAACACATCTCACAAAAAAATTAACCAAAATATGACCATACTTTTAGAAGAGAGAGAGAGAGAAAGGCATTCAAATTCTTGTTAAGTTATCCAGTTTTGTGTGATAACAACGTCGCTCTTTTCGTTCCTTTTTCATCTCTCCCTCTGTTTCTCTTTATTTTTATTTGCTTCTCTTTTAAATAATCAGTTATTCTTAAAACACATCTCACAAAAAAATTAACCAAAATATGACCATACTTTTAGAAGAGAGAGAGAGAGAAAGGCATTCAAATTCTTGTTAAGTTATCCAGTTTTGTGTGATAAGAATGTATAATTAAATTTTAATCGTAACAGTACGTCATCTTAATATTTACTTTTATCAATTTTTGCACACTATTTTTTCTTACTTTATTTATTTTTAATTTCTATATCCTTTTTTTATTTGCTTATTTTTTTTTTTATGATCTTCAAACAAAGTTCACTTTATTTATTGCATACTTCTCTATTAATAGGCAATGTATAATTTATTTCCTTTGCTCATATTTTTCTCTTATTATTTGCATTCAATTGTTCTCAATGAAATTTCAACTTACGAAACAACATAAATATCTTTATCTACATCTCTATCGGTTCTCAATTTCCTCTATCTACATTTCTCTTATATCACGTTCCTTTTCCAGCGGTGGCGGCGCCGTGACGTGCCGGTGCAATAAATTGCATATCGTCCTCATTAGGCTCGCTTTCCACCGTTTCTCGTTCGCGATGCTCGCTTTTGCCGCACGATTATTACTGGGATTAAGGCAGATTCCCGCGCACGATATGCCCCGTGAAAATAATGTTCCTGACGTTTCCAGTGCGGAAACGTTATTTCCTAACTTATTGGCGCAATGTTGTACAACGCGTTCGATCGTTATCGCGGATTATTACGTACTGCGTTTAAGTGACACTAGAAGCCATTCGAAATATTAATTTGGCGCTTGCCTAATTGGAACGGGATACGCGCGGATTCGATTAAACGAATTTGCCCCACCTCGCGAATTCGTGTTTAAATCCTTCTTGCTTAATCCGTTTATTTTCGAAAATAGTTTGTGACTTACTCATTCGACTGATTTATCGAGATAAAATCTGTTAATTTTTCTGTGTCTCTGATTCAGCGAAGTTTGTCCGAACATTTAGAGAGTAGAAAATTTATTTAAATATTTTTATGTGCGTGATGTTTACGAATTAATGCGCGGATGTGAATGTGTAATAGCATAATTAATATCATAAAGAATAAATTTATATATTTTATTGTAAATAATTTAATATTATTAAACATACATTTTTATTAGCTATAAAAATGTCATAGTTCCGTAGTATTATAAAATAGAATATTACAATATATATATATGTGTGTATGAAGGAAATATGACGTAAAATGTTCTTCGTCCTCTTTTCTCTCTCACTCGCGTGATTCTCATATATTATTAAGTACCGCGGAAAATAAACGGCTTTGTTAGAAACATCTCGACCTGCGTCTGACTCGTTGCGTAATTATACTCTGCGGTTTTACTTATTCCTCGCCGCTTTGCGTACATGCGGGCGTTTTTGCACTTATCGGAAAAGCACTCGAGGGTTTCGCGTTCTGCGAATAAATAAGCGAGCTCGCGGCGGTTTTATATTTTAAATATAAAAGAAACACTGTGAAAATAATCATACTACAAATAATCAGATACAAATATTTTAATTCATCAAATTTTAACGGTTAATAGACCAATCTAGGCGGACTCAAAGTGTTACGGAAGCGATCTGTGGAAACCATATCGCTCGGAATGCACCCGGAATCGAAGAAGTCCGGTAGCAACGATCGCGTTTCAGTTCGATGGAGGTAATATCCTACGAGAGTAGCTGGCCGCCTTCGCTCGGCGTGCTTTTCTCTCGAGCACCAGCATGTCCGGTCAACGCGGAATTGGGTTACCTGCCTGCCTGCCTGCCTGTCGCGGCTATGCCCGGAGATTGCCATAACTCCGGCTATTACCGTAATCGATTATATAAGTGCGTTTACGCGCCCGCGAGCGAACCGCGCCATTCGCCACGGTGTTTGAAGCGCGTGTGAACGCGCCTTAAGGCGGAGGAGACACTTTCTCTGCTGTATATAATCTCGGTTTTATATTATCAGCACCGATACCGTCGGCTGAGCATGTTGTATCAAAATTACGTAAACCGCATACACGCATACAGAGAAAAGATCACGATATAAAATAGACAAATGAGAATTATGTAGCAATTTATATTTTCCAAATGGCTTTCTTTAATTATTCTTTAATACCGTGAATCAGAATGTTTCATAAGAGGTATATTATGCATTGGTATTGTAAAAAAGTCAATAAATGATAGCTTAATTATTTTCCGTTTATTTAAAAATAAGTAATTAAGAATTGCGAGATTTTCCTTTATACTAACGAGAGATGGTTACGAATTTAAATGAGGAAACGATCCGCGAAAGCGTGCGCATCGCGTTGTAAAATCAATGTAGGTCTACTATAAATCGCGGATCTCTTCCGCGATCGGTGGGAGAATATCCCGATTAATGCGAGACATGGTAAATCAGCGAACGCGATCATAAATCCTCGTGATATATTTCCACCGGAAATTGTATCGATCGTTCCAATGCCGACTTCTAACAGCGGCGAATTCTCACAGACATGTAAGCAGAAATCAGAACAATATTAGCAAAGCTTTAATCCGATTAATTCGCGTATGATTGCTTAACGATTTCAATATCTAGAAATAATTTAAAAATAATCGACATATTTGGAAGCTTGACAGCAGTAAACAAAATTATATTACAGGTATAATTATAAAATATCCTTCCTGTCGTGTGTCTAAATAACAATATACATTGGTTGTCAAAGTTTCCACTATGAAATAAATCCTTGAAAGAATAGAATAATATTCGATACCAAATAAAAACGTTTTTTCGATTCTTATAAATTTGATCCATGTAATTAATTTTTAAATTATAATACAAACATTATTGTTTTTAATTTATGATTTTAATTTTAATTTTCGAAACAATTCTAGGAAGAAAATATCTATATACATTGAAAATGTCAAGAGAGAGCAATTTAACATAAAGAAATTTCTCATATCAGAGATAAAACTCTTTCAAAAATGGCACGTCAATTTCGCGGGTTAATTTTTCGGCCTCTCCCACGCATCGCGCAGTTCTGATTAATTTCTCAAGCGCACAGAACGATAAATAATAATCCCCGTGTCAAACGACACCTAGGAGCATCGGTTAACGAACGCAGAGATGAGAGGGGAGAAGAAACTCGCAGGACCGTACACACAGATAACGTGATCTATCGATCCATCGATCTTTACTTGTGGCCTGGCCTTTCGAGAGGAGAGTCGAGCCGCCGTCGACTCTCGCTTCGCCCTCTCTCGCTTCGACG